CACTAGCACTGGGACCACCCTGCCACCTTCTACATCTGTGGTCACCAGCACTCCTCTGCACACAACTCTGGGAACTACCACTGGCACCTCCATGGCCTCTTCAAGCCTTGGCATGACTCTGACCTCACCCCTGGTGGGCACCAGCCCCACACTGACCACATCGACCCCAGGAAGCGGGTCTACCATGTGTGAGCCCCGCTGCACATGGACAGACTGGCTGGACGAGAGCTACCCTGTGCCCGGGGCCTCTGGGGGGGACTTTGAGACATATGACAACATCCATGCAGCTGGTAAGGCCATTTGCAAGAGCCCCGTGGACATCCAGTGCCGCGCCAAGTCCCAGCCCGATGTCCCACTCCAGGAACTGGGGCAGGTGGTACAGTGCGACCGGGCCATCGGCCTGGTGTGCTGGAATCGTGATCAGCCTGGCAAGTTCCAGATCTGCCTCAATTACCACATCCGTGTCCTTTGCTGCAACTATAGTCAGTGCCTGAGCACCCCGTCCACCACTACTGTGTCCACCCTGGGGACCCACACAAGCCAGGGGTCCACACCAACCTCCTGGACCGTGCCCCTGCCCATGTCTTCCACCAGCCCCTTGGCCCCTGGCACAGCCTCCACCAGGTGCCAGCCCGCCTGCCACTGGACACAATGGCTAGACAGTGACCGGCCCCAGCCTGGTCGCTACGGGGGTGACATTGAGACCTACTACCACATCACAGATGCAGGCGGGCAGCTGTGCAAGGAACCTGAGGCCATCGAGTGCGAGGCCGTGCTGTACCCCGGAAGGCCGCTGGAGGTGCTGGGCCAGTCAGTGCTATGTAAGGCGGAATTCGGACTCATCTGCCGGAACCACAAGCAGAAGAAGGGCCAGACCTGTCTCAACTACCACGTGCGTGTATATTGCTGCAATGACTACAGCCACTGTGGGAGCATGGAAGGCCCCACGTCCCCTGCCGCGTCCACGCCCACCACAGCTGGGCCCTTGTCCACCAATGCGTCCACTCCCTCCATGCCAGGCCCCACGTCCATTACCACATCGACTCCCACCATGGTGGGCCTCACATCCACCCTTGTCCACACCCACACCTTCACCACAGCAGCCCCCAGCCCAACCTCTGTCGCTACAACGGAAGTCCCGACCCCCACCCCCACCACAGCCACCACCACTCCCATTGCTTCAGGCCTCAGGTCATCTGGGGTCCCAGGACATCCAACCTCAGCCACCACACACACACGGCCCACCACACCCACCACCACTGAGTGGGTCACCATCCTGACCACTTCTCAGTCCACCCCCGGGACCCTCGCAACCACAGCCAGTTCAGCCTCCCCCAGCATGTCATCCACACCTGCCCTGACCACCACACCCTTCAGTACCACCCCAGAACCTAGCCTGTCCTCAGGGAGCACCATCTC